GAAAAATAACAAGAATTCCCGGAAAAACAACCGGAAAAATGCGAAAAACAATGGGAAAAATAATGGGAATTCCCAGAAAAACAACGGGAGAAACAATGGGAAAAATAACGGGAAAAATGGGAAAACCAACGGGAAAAATAATGGGAATTCCTGGAAAAACAATGGGAAAAACAATGGGAAAAACAATGGGAAAAATGGGAATTCCTGGACAAACAATGGGAGAAACAATGGGAAAAACAACGGGAAAAATAACGGGAAAAATAACAAGAATTCCCGGAGAAACAACGGGAGAAACAACGGGAAAAATAATGGGAATTCCCGGAAAAACAATGGGAAAAATAATGGGAAAAATAACGGGAATTCCTGGAAAAACAATGGGAAAAATAATGGGAATTCCCAGAAGAATAATGGAAAAACAATGGGAAAAATAATGGGAAAAAAAACGGGAATTCCCGGAAAAACAATGGGAAAAATGATGGGAATTCCTGGAAAAACAACGGGAAAAATAACGGGAAAAATAACGGGAAAAATAACAAGAATTCCCGGAAAAACACTGGGAAAAATAACTGGAAAAATAACGGGAAAAATGGGAATTCTGGGACAAACAACCGGAAAAACAACGGGAAAAACGGGAATTCCTGGGAAAAACACTGGGAAAAACAATGGGAAAAATGGGAATTCTGGGACAAACAACCGGAAAAACAACGGGAAAAATAATGGGAATTCCCAGAAAAACAATGGAAAAACAACGGGAGAAACGACGGGAGAAACAATGGGAAAAACAATGGGAAAAATGGGAATTCTGGGACAAACAACCGGAAAAACAACGGGAAAAATAATGGGAATTCCCAGAAAAACAATGGAAAAACAACGGGAGAAACGACGGGAGAAACAATGGGAAAAACAATGGGAAAAATGGGAATTCTGGGACAAACAACCGGAAAAACAACGGGAAAAATAATGGGAATTCCCAGAAAAACAATGGAAAAACAACGGGAGAAACGACGGGAGAAACAATGGGAAAAACAATGGGAAAAATGGGAATTCTGGGACAAACAACCGGAAAAACAACGGGAAAAATAATGGGAATTCCCAGAAAAACAATGGAAAAACAACGGGAGAAACGACGGGAGAAACAATGGGAAAAACAATGGGAAAAATGGGAATTCTGGGACAAACAACCGGAAAAACAACGGGAAAAATAATGGGAATTCCCAGAAAAACAATGGAAAAACAACGGGAGAAACGACGGGAGAAACAATGGGAAAAACAATGGGAAAAATGGGAATTCTGGGACAAACAACCGGAAAAACAACGGGAAAAATAATGGGAATTCCCAGAAAAACAATGGAAAAACAACGGGAGAAACGACGGGAGAAACAATGGGAAAAACAATGGGAAAAATGGGAATTCTGGGACAAACAACCGGAAAAACAACGGGAAAAATAATGGGAATTCCCAGAAAAACAATGGAAAAACAACGGGAGAAACGACGGGAGAAACAATGGGAAAAACAATGGGAAAAATGGGAATTCTGGGACAAACAACCGGAAAAACAACGGGAAAAATAATGGGAATTCCCAGAAAAACAATGGAAAAACAACGGGAGAAACGACGGGAGAAACAATGGGAAAAACAATGGGAAAAATGGGAATTCTGGGACAAACAACCGGAAAAACAACGGGAAAAATAATGGGAATTCCCAGAAAAACAATGGAAAAACAACGGGAGAAACGACGGGAGAAACAATGGGAAAAACAATGGGAAAAATGGGAATTCTGGGACAAACAACCGGAAAAACAACGGGAAAAATAATGGGAATTCCCAGAAAAACAATGGAAAAACAACGGGAGAAACGACGGGAGAAACAATGGGAAAAACAATGGGAAAAATGGGAATTCTGGGACAAACAACCGGAAAAACAACGGGAAAAATAATGGGAATTCCCAGAAAAACAATGGAAAAACAACGGGAGAAACGACGGGAGAAACAATGGGAAAAACAATGGGAAAAATGGGAATTCTGGGACAAACAACCGGAAAAACAACGGGAAAAATAATGGGAATTCCCAGAAAAACAATGGAAAAACAACGGGAGAAACGACGGGAGAAACAATGGGAAAAACAATGGGAAAAATGGGAATTCTGGGACAAACAACCGGAAAAACAACGGGAAAAATAATGGGAATTCCCAGAAAAACAATGGAAAAACAACGGGAGAAACGACGGGAGAAACAATGGGAAAAACAATGGGAAAAATGGGAATTCTGGGACAAACAACCGGAAAAACAACGGGAAAAATAATGGGAATTCCCAGAAAAACAATGGAAAAACAACGGGAGAAACGACGGGAGAAACAATGGGAAAAACAATGGGAAAAATGGGAATTCTGGGACAAACAACCGGAAAAACAACGGGAAAAATAATGGGAATTCCCAGAAAAACAATGGAAAAACAACGGGAGAAACGACGGGAGAAACAATGGGAAAAACAATGGGAAAAATGGGAATTCTGGGACAAACAACCGGAAAAACAACGGGAAAAATAATGGGAATTCCCAGAAAAACAATGGAAAAACAACGGGAGAAACGACGGGAGAAACAATGGGAAAAACAATGGGAAAAATGGGAAAAATAACGGGAATTCCGAGGGAAAACAATGGGAAAAACAATGGGAAAAATGGGAATTCCCGGAAAAACGGTTGGAATTCCCAGCTTTTCCCGGGGATTGGGGCGGATTCTTGGGATTGGGAAATTCCCGGGATTTTGGGGATTTTTGGGATATTTTTTTTTTAATTATTTTTGGGAATTTGGGGGTTCGTTAATTCCTGAGATTTTGGAATTTCTGGGATTTGGGGGATTTTTGGGATTCGCTGATTTTTTGGGAATTTTGGGATTTTTTTTGGGGGGAATTCCTGAGATCCGTCGATTCCCGGGATTTTCCCATTTTTTGGGATCCTTTCGATTCCCGGGATTTTTGGATTTCCGGGATTTTGGTTTTCCCGGAATTTTGCTTTTTCCGGGATTTTGGGGATTTTTTTTTGATTCCTGGGATTTTCGGGATTTTTGGGATCGGTTAATTCCCAGGATTTTGGGATTTTTGGATTCCCAGGATTTTGGGAATTTTTGGGATCCGCCAATTCCCGAGATTTTGGAATTTTGGGAATTTTTTTTCGGATTCCTGAGATTCGTCGATTCCCGGGATTTTCCCATTTTTGGGATTTTTGGGATCCTTTTGATTCCCAGGATTTTGGGATTTCTCGGGATTTTTTTGATTCCCAGGATTTTTGGGATTTCCCAGGATTTTGGATTCCCGGAATTTTGGATTTCCGGGATTTTGGTTTTCCTGGGATTTTGGATTTCCGGGATTTTTTTGGGATTTCCCAGGATTTTGGATTACCGGGATTTTGGATTTCCCGGAATTTTGGTTTTCCGGGATTTTGGGTTTCTGGGATTCTTGGATTCCCGGGATTTTGGGTTTCCGGGATTTTGGTTTTCCTGGAATTTTGGCTTCCTGGGATTTTTGGATTTCCCGGAATTTTTTTGATTCCCAGGATTTTGGTTTCCCGGGATTTTGGGTTTCTGGGATTTTGGTTTTCCGGGATTTTGGGTTTCCTGGGATTTTGGTTTTCCCAGAATTTT